TGCCTGTCTGGCTTTATCCATCAGGTCATGTGTGCCTCTGCCCGAGTTCCGTTGTTTACTTCCATGCTTTGTGCATTTGGAAGTGCAGGCGGTCTTTCACCAGGAGCAGGTAGTCTGACTTTTAACAGTAAATGTGTCTGTATACTGTCTAGCCTTTCCGTCTATACAGAGGCTTATGTTGCAGATCGGGGCTACTGTGTGTGGCCTGCTCGTCACATTTAGGGCCGCATGACTGGCAGGTTGATAGGTTTTACATGGGGGGGGGGTCGTTTTACGACAAGTGGTATACAACGTCATGCTCGGCATCATCCGTCTTCCACAACAGGCTTTCAATCTAAAAATGGTCTCAAATGTGTGAGTGCAGACGTCCATATGAAAGTCTAGACAGTAAAATATGCGTCCATCTAGTCGTCCCACTCAACCGCTGCTCGACGAGCTACGATCGAACCAGGTCCACGAATGACCGAAGGCTGCGGTCTAAATGCTCCTGGTTGGATGTTTTGGGAGTCATTTGCGTCGGGATGGACAGGTTTTCCTCCTAACAACAGCGATCATTTCCTAATGACTTGAGGGACCTTACCTCACTCGCCACACTCTGCGCTGGCGTGTGTCCCCATTTTGGCAGTGTTTTCAAGTCGTGGAGCAATAGTTCACTAGCCGAAGTTAAATAGTTGTAAGAAGAAAGATGAGGGAATCATACGAAATGGTATCGTTGAGGAACTCTCTATCGTAGGTCACGAGGCAATCATATGAAGTAATGTAGGCCATAGTTAATCATCCACTACTCCAGTTGCCTTTCCGAGTGCGAATGAGTGTAGGCCTTTTTAGCTTGTCGATTCGGATCAAACGTTATGGTCCTGCTCTGAGAGAATTCCCTGGTACTGATATTTTTCATGGTTCACTGGGTGTATGGTATTCGTAGCAAGGCCGCAGTATGCAACACCCCTAACAGGGAACGAAAACCAAGTCATCATGGTATAGTGTGTTCTCGTCTATTTTTATAACTGACGCTTCTACGTTCTTTTAACTTGACGGAATGTAACCTACTTCTTTTGTGAGAACAGGCTGGAAAAACCTCGAAAAACGCTACTGCTGTCAGATGTCTTGGTGCCTTCAACATTCCTCGGGGGTCGGGTCCCTGGTACGTGTGCTCATTTGCAAGTAACTGTAGAGAAACCTTGCGCGAGTACATAATATGCCACCTCAGTAATTATCGGAATATTTACCTGCTACTATCGCGCTCTACTTTCCGCCGTCTAGCCCCACCCAGAAGTCTCGCATTCCACGATGACCTGGGTTTTGTTCCCTGGGATGGGTCGCTTGCTGCGTCTTTTTATGTCTCCCTGTGTCGGTGCACCACTGTTATTGTAAACGCCAAAAGCCTTCCACAAGTATCGAGTGATTCCATCAGTTAGTAACCTTCCAAGACGCGCCTCTTAGTGCGTCGTGATGGATTCAAACGAGCGAGCTCTCCCTCTCTTTTCCCTCTGCCTTACAACTGTCCGAACCTGTCAATCAGCTGGTTATAAGATTAGGCACAACGGCGGGCAAAGTTAAACAGACATGGTACATACGACCTGCTTTTGCATCAGTTACCAGGCGGCTGGAATCTCACAAATTCCAGAATTGCAAAAAGGCCACATTGAACAGGAGCCATTGTAGTCTGACTCTCGGTCATGAGAAGGTGCTCACCCATCATGTCAGACACTGCAGCCAATCCCATCTCCGTACAGATTGGCTTATGCCTCCAACTGACAGATGGGCGAGGCGGGAGCGGTTGATAGTGGGCGCAGTGTGCCGACTGTCAAACCATAAAACAAACTTTGAGTTATTGCAACCCGCTAAACGACTCGGCCTGAATGCCTGCCATTTAATTAGATAACTTACCTACACCCTCCGGATTAACGATCATGCTGTAGTGGGTCCTCTAAAGCACAGTCTTCATGACAAATGCCGTAGCGGAGACCGTGTTTGAGATCCGGTTCCTGTTAAGATGGGGGCCAGGCCGTGTGTGGCAGGAACAAACGAGAATTCGACAGCGTCAGCACCGAGTTCGCACGTATTCGCCCAGTTCTTCACACAAGCAGTGTGTAGCGTCGTATGCTGATGGAAATACGACATGCGTTGAAACGTAGGAAATAGTAATTGGCAAGGCTAGGTATGCGACTGTCTCATCAGCCTTACGCAAGCAAAATGACGTTTAAACACGGGGGTTCTCTAAATGTGGCACATTCTTTCGCACAAACTGCTTCCCCTCCCACCTCCCGACTGCAATAGCAGGAGCTTACGTAACGATAGCGTGTAAGGCCCCCAAGTAGATGGCAACTCCAAAAGTATACCCTAAAATTCTGTGTGACTGTAAGCTTCACTCATCTTTCACCGTTCCCATTGTTAGAACACGCTCCATGACAGAGGTAACCGAGGAACAACCATGCCTTTGTAGACGCGAATATTCCTGCCATCAAATACTGCTACCCCTCCCTACCCCCCAGACTGTAATAGCAGGAACATGGGTATCGATAGGGTGTAGGGCTCCCAAGCAGATGGAAACTCCAAAAATATACAATAAAATTCAGTAGGACCGTGAATATCACTTATTATTAACTGTTCTCACTATTTGAAATTTCCTTCCCTTCCTGACTAAATGTCAACTTATTAGCGGCGCTCTATTCAAAGACTGTTATTTTTGAAAATTGCTTTTTATTTATTTTTTGAATACCGCGCTCAATTTCTTTGTCAAATGACGGCGTATGATAAGACTTTCAGCAGAAATTCATCCCTTTTCTATGCCTGCGCGTTCTCCGTCCTGTGTGTTCCCCCAATCGTAAAACCCCCTCTACCACCATTCAACGTATGACACGGTCTAAATGCTAGCTCAATTTAGTGGGGGGTCCTACACCCTATCGTTGCCGGAATGTGCAAAACGTCAGCTTGATGAACATATTTCCCTACGGCCTCTCTGTGCTCAACTCTCGTCGCGCCGACTGGAAGGTTGGATTTGGTGGCGTGGCGACTGTGAAAATATGAAAAGCTGAGTAATACATCAACTTCCTAGATCTTCGCTCGTCATATAGAGGCGCCTTCTCCCCGGCACCTTGATGGTTAGCAAATCCATTTTTTTGCGATCCAGTTGGGTTTTTGCGGTTAGTGCTGGTCTGTTGTCAATTTTGTGAGATCTATTTCTTCTATAGGAACTGCACTCAGCGAAACAGGTTGTTCTTCGTGAAATTGGTTTCTCTGGAACATCAAGTAATTAAGCATGAATACAATCTAGTGCTGAAGGCCGAATTATCAAAAGTAAATAGGAAATCCCATAGGCCTAACCTTGTTTGATCGTCTTCCATGATTTTTGCACTGCTGTGACGTAGTGTCAGAGGGAGTGAAGTCTACGCCCAGTTTGCTTCCTATAATTAAATTTTAATTTCAAACGCCCTTACTTTATTCGCTCGCTCCGTGCATGGTTTCCATGGACGAAGACTGCTCCAGTCACAATTCAAAAGATGGTTGAACAGAAGAATAGTTACGCGCGTACTATAGGTGAGCTTGGGCTACCTTCCAGAGGAGCTAGGGTTTCGTTTGGGGTTAAGAAGGCTATAGATAGGGTTAGGGGGGTCGGGGTTGAGTTTGGGGTTAATGCTAAAGTTGGGACACGGTAATAGGTATCGCCCCTGGAACTCTGCGCAAGGCCGTCTATGCAGGCGGGGGGCCTTTATTCCGGAGTCCTTCTAAAGCAATAATCGAATAGTAGAAAACGATTTAATGGGCTTGAAAAATATGGACATAACCAGATAATATAGGCGGTATTGATTTACAACTACTTCCCCCGAAGCCTACGCTTATATGCTTGCTGCTTTCTTTCTTTTAGCACACGTCAGTGGCCTCGAAAGGGCTGTTCTCGACAGTACGTTCACTATTTTCATCTCCTTAATCTGCAGTATTTCAAATGATGGATTTGAAAGGATGCTCATCCAACTCATTTGCTTAGTATGCCATGCACGCATAAGCCCACAAAAAAGGAAGCGTGACTTGGTTATTCGGCTACATGACAGGGATTTACTTCTATTGATATGATAGAAAAGTTATTCGAAAATTACACACCTGTATAGGAGAAGGCTCGATATTAGAAGATCTAAAGTGCTAGGTCTAGCCCTCGGAGAAATGGAAAGAACATGCCCCGTAACCTGATCAGCGAACGCAAGTACACCATAATGCATAATGTAGAAATTGACGCCTTTATAAGGGGATGATATTGGGGCTTGGTTCTACTGGCACTGATCTCGCAGGTATCATGAACAGCATTCAACAATGACGTTAGGGTGGCGTTCTGCGTTGCCGCGTGTGGTCTGGGGTGGATTTCAGGGGAGG